TATCAGAGAGACCATTTGTGCTTGGAGCCAGAAGAAATTGAAAATGAGAGAGGTCTTGAGGAGCCCACTAAAAAGATCAGTTACCAAAACATGATGCCACGAGGCTACGGATTCAAATGAACACTGGGACACTGGGGGGAGGAGTATTGAATGCTACTTTTAATATATCACTTCATAGGTTTTTCTCTCGGATCTCGCTTTGATTTCCTGCTGTCACTAGTCCTTAATAAAAGTTCCTTTTGAGACAAAGCCTGTTTCAAAGTTCTGCTTTTTGGGGTGCTTTAGCTGAGGTAGGTCCTTACAGGGACTTTTCCAAATCTTAACTGAAATATCTCATTAACCTAAGATGTAAATGCAGATGGCAGAAATGCAGAAAGAGTATTTTAATAAGTTGCAACTGGATTATCTAATTATTTAATTGTAAAGGAAATAATGTGGAAATAATGCAGCTATTTGGCAGGTTGAATCAAAGTCACTATCATTAAAAGGGCTGTCAACTGAGTTCTCCAATTTGCTATTCTTGGTTGGTTGAATGGTCATAGAAAAAAAAATCGAAGCTTGTAGAAACCAAAACAAAAATTCTTTTTAATAACTCAGAAGCCGTCTACAATATTGTCAAGGTCAGTTGTGAATAATTTTATCATACAGAGCGACATCTTCTTTTCATTATTCTTTTTCTTTTAAAGCAAATTATAAGCTTCAATTGCTCTATTCCAGTCATAAACCTCTGTTAAATCTATTAAGTCCAGTTTTCTGTACAAGGTCACTCTTCTATTATTTTTCATATTGTGAACAGTTGTTCAAATGTTCACTGAGAGGTTTAATACATTCCAATATGGACATTGTGTGTGGGGGGGAGGGGAAAGAAGTATCTGAAAATATATCCCAGGCAACTCCGTCTAGATAGAAGAGTTGTGTTTCGCAAAGAGACTGCCTTAATTAACTCAGTACTGTGTAACTGAGGCTGAGTATTTCCTCTAACCCTTTTAAGATTCTGTGATTGCCACAAATCAGCATTCAAAATATCATTCTGATCTCCATCCGGGCTTCCTTGGTCTTGTCATCTCACAGGCCTTTTTATTTCCAGCCTCTACAGAATTCAGTTTAGTACATTTGGCCAAATATATTTGCCAGTTCTTGTGAGATACAACCCATCCTGGGCCAGCAATCCATTAACAGCTTGCTGCGTTGAAGGAGCTTTTCTTTCTTAGCATTTTGCATTTAATTTTCCTGCATACTTTGCAAATCAGTCTTTGTATTTAAAGTACCACACATTTTCAAAAAACAGTTTTGTTTATTTTATTTGTGAACTCACTTCATTTAACCCTTTGGATTTCAATCACATTATCTCTCACACATCAGAAAAGATATCTATAAGTCTGGAATTTTTTTTCTCATATTTAACAAAGCAAAAATAACCCTACATTGCAATTAATTCAAAACATCATTACATAGGCATTTCTAATTATCCATTTTGCAAGGAAAACAGCTAGTTGTTCGGAGCATAGAAGGCAAGGAAATTAATCCCTCTCTTACCTATCATGTGAAAACATTTTTGTGCTATAGCTGGAACAGAGTTGTTATTCTGTCAATTGCAGAGAAATGTTAATACAAAAGTGGACCATTCACACTGGAATTTACTTTATGTGGTGGAATGTTCACATCATCAACCATTGCAGTTCATTGTTCACAGCATGTCTAAGCTTTTTGTAATCCCGTTGTAATAAGGAATCATATGTTAATAACATTTTTGCTAATTCAAAATGAGCAAATGGTTTAATAAAAATTATATTCATATAGACACAGGTTATCCTAATAGAAATGACAAATATTTTGGCAAAGATGATTTCCCTCAAAATAAAATGAGAACAGCAAAACAGCCATATCAGCCTACTTAGTAACTGTTATGTAACACAGTAATAATAATATTAAAGATTTGTGCTATTTCGGATAGTTTTCTATCCTGTAATCTTACTTGGATCTACCTAAGAAGGTTACTTGCTCCAAGGATTATACAATCAGCCAGAGGCATTACACAACAACATGCTTCCCCCTTTAAAATTTTATTGCTAATGACAGTGCAGGTCTCTGAGACAGAGAAATGAGGAAGGGGAGGGAGAAAACAGAGCAACAAACACTCCGTATCTTGGAGAAATTCAGTGCTTAAGAAAATTAACTGAAAGTAACCCTGGATGGACTGACTTTTTCTTCTCTGAAGAACTTTTATTTAATTTAAAATAAACCAAAAACAAATGGGGATTAGCCGTGAAATTCAAAAGGGGGAACTTTGGTCAGTTTAAATGAGTTTTTTTATATATAACAGACAGACTTTAACTGGGCTTTCTCCCCCCCTCCCCATTTAGACGTAACAGTAAATCCTGACAAAGAAATCCAAGCATCTTCTTCTTTTAACCCAGTCAGAGATGTGCAGAAGATAAAGGAATGCTGGTCCCACACTTATTTCTGCTCACTCATACAGCAATAAACAATGTTTGGGTTTTTTTTTTCCAAACAAAACTTAAACAACAGTCTGTTTCAAGCCAGAAATTGCAGAGAATTTATAGTATATTTTAATTAATCTTGTACACAAAAAGCATTATTGGGAATATCAGGGTGATTCACAATCAGGATTGCCAATCAATTAAGGAAAACAAGTCAGTACAGGTAGTCCTCGACTTACAACATTTCGTTTAGTGATCGCTCAAGTTTCAATGGCACTGAAAAAAGTGACTGTTTTTCACATTTACAGTTCAGACGCTTGGCAAGTGGTTCATACTTATGATGGTTGCAATGTCCTGGGGTATGTGATCACTTTCTGCAAACTTCTGACAAACAAAGTCAATGGGGAAGTAACTTAACAGCCAGGTTACTAACTTATCAACTGCTAACTTATTCATTTAACAACTGTTGTAATAAAGGTCATAAAATGGGGCAAAACTCACAACAAATTTCTCACTTAGCAACCAAAATTTTGAGCTCAATTGTGGTTGTAAGTTGAGGACTACTTTTAATCCTATGAAATTAATTAAGTCTTGGTTTTTATTGTGCTACTGAATCAGTTATCAAAAAAACCCAACACTTTTCCTTGTTAGCTTTTTAAAAAGATTAAATTAAAGTAACACAACTGATATTATGCTTGGCTGGTCTCAAAATACAGGTCAATCAGATCTATGTCATCAGCTCAGATAGCAAAATGTGTTATGTTGACAAAGTTGGCAGTCCTATCTCTCATCTAATTTACTTTCCAATTGTTTATAATTTGGCTTTGATCATCAGTAATATATTGTAATGGGAATATTTATGTGATGAAGTTTTCAGCATGTGAATGTAGCTATTTCCTATTTAATTCAAATTACAATTCTGTCATTGTCATTTAAATGTGCTACATAAATAATTTGCTCTTGCAGGCCAAATTTTTGTCCTGTCAACAAAAACATTTATCACTATTATGCCTATTAGTCTTTTTAAGTGAACTATTTTTCCTTTTAAAAAGGTAGTTCTTTTTATCTGCAGTTTTTTATATCTGCAACTAATAATTAGAGATCCGATTTTAATAGTTGCAGAAGGTTTTGCATATTTATTTTTTGCCACATCTTGTTACTTTATGCATGCACTTAAAGAAGAGGTGCACTTTGCACATGCATAAAGTATGTTATTTTTAAGGTTAGAGTTAGGTCATCTGTGCAAAATACCTGTGTTTGTTTTTTCTCCTTGATAAGATACAATGAATTTTGATAGATCATCTCAGCCATGAAGCTTCATGTAACAGATGGCTTTCTGTAGAGCAACTCACTTGGCTGCTGATGGAGATGCCACATGGTTCATGCTGACTTCTCCACCCTACATGATGTTTTTACAGTCTCGATGGAGAGGCCTCTCTATTGTTTCATCAGTGTTGTCTGCAAACCTCTTGCAACATCAATAAATTGCATCATTAGTTGCTAGTGTTGCCCACCAACTACTCATTTGCTATTAGTTTGCTTGAGAAAGATACAGGAGCCTAAAGTGAAGAGCTCATAACTGGGTGGACCCAATGAGATTTGTTAGGACTGAGCAAGGATCGAAGGAGCACATACAGATACACTGCACAGATGACTGTTAGAGGAGGAAGAATGGATATACTCATGGGAGGAAGAGATGACCATAGAGTCTAGAATCCTTCCCCATGCCCGCCCAAATTCCCACAGAGTTCAGATCTCTTACTCTTTGTGATTTTCTTGTCCACAGTTCTATAGCAGAATGGAGAGGGTCCTTGTCTTGAGAAGGCCATGTCTATTAAATACTGCATAAGGCTTTCATGGACATGCATATACCCTTCCTTGGTGTTTGTATCTATCAACACAATACAATATAGAGTGTTATATCCAGGCTCTATTCATAGCTATCTCCTACATATCCTCACATGGATATTGAAAAATACCTATAGTTATGTGATCTTCAATATGAACATTAACTGAAATTCCTGGCATTGAATTAACATGTCACCATAATTTTTTTTCAAACTGAAGAACACTCAGAATTACCAATGTTAAGCCTACATGGCATACTTTGCCGGAATGGAATTGAAAAGATCAAACTCTAATTTTTATTTCATTGTTATTAATTTTGTTTTAGCTCTACAGTTAGATTTCTTTATTACTGAAATAAAATCCTAGCACAATTTCATGTTTATAACTACTTCCTCTAAGCTAGAGGTGAGGTATCAATCAACTGAAACTGGGTAGAAGAGAAGGCTTGATGGATTAGTTAGAACTCAACACAAGGACATATGCACATTGCATTTCAGAGTAAGCCTTTACAGCTAATAGTCTGTGCAGCATCCTCACCCTGAGGATCCTCTAGGGCAGTGTTTCTCAACCTTGACAATTTTAAGGCATGTGGACTTCAACTCCCAGAATTCCACAGCCAGCAATGCTGGCTGTGGAATTCTGGGAGTTGGTCCACATGCCTTAATATTGTCAAGGTTGAGAAACACTGCTCTAGGGCAGGGGTGTTAAACTGCCAGCTCACGGGCCGGATGCGTCATGCCGAAACTGCGCCCACCCCATTGCCGGCAATGGGAAAAAAGTCGCGATACATTGCGACACGTCACGTGACATTGTGAGTTTGACACCCCTGCTCTAGGGAGTCTGAAGACCTATGCTCAGCATAAGTACCAGTTCCCTCTGCCAATACTGCTGTCTCTGAGGGATCCAGACACATACAAACATGCTTATGGATTGGGTACTTCATAAATAAATAGGTGCTCAACATTTATTCCTATTATACAAGATCAATCAAAACTACATTGCAGAATAATCTGGATAGGTAGTTTTATATCCACATGTTTACAGTCACAGGCAGCATAACCTCATAGTTATATACAGTTTGGCAGAAAATAAGTTAAATCTTCAAAGAGCATATAATTTAACTTAGAATAACCTTTCACTCGTTTAACTGTTGTGGTGTGCATGTGCAGTAGGTTTTTGGCAAATCAGCATGTTTCTCACAAAGGAAAAAGTGTTCTGAACTGGCCACCACATTGACAATGTTACTGTGGTAATTTAGAAGGTTCCTGTGAAACAAAGAACCACCTACATCTAAGCTGAAGTCTATACTGTATTAGTTTACAAATAATTTCCAGTTTACAATAATAAAAACCAATAATGTCACAATGTATATAAACACTAATTGAAGACAAGTATTTTAAAATGGAATATAAAGTAGCATGTTAAAAACTATCACATACACACAGCGAAGACAAAGATTTTCAGCAGCTGTGTTTTAAGGGTTGGGACAGAAGCAAGAAAAAGTGTCTAACACCGGTCCAGTTTTGTAATTTCTATCATTGCTATGATATTAATCAATTTAAAAATAAAATTCTAAAAGTGCATATATATTTTTTTTTCCTAAGGCTCTGAAAATAGAACACAAAGTTAAAGTACATACTAAATGGCATGTAAAAATCCTATCCAACATGCATTACATATGCATCTGACAGCAATTCATTAAAATAATTGTTAAAAACTGTGGATGAATTATTGAAAAAAAAATTGCACCAAGATTTTTTTCCTCCAAAGATAAAAGTCTTGAGATAGTAATTTTGTTTTGATTCCAAACTAGTGCCTATATTATCAGTTTTTTCTTTAATTTGAATTAACAAAACCAAAAATAATTAATCACAAGTTAGTTCCCCAAATCACAAAAGTTAAAAAGCTGCTGTTATAGATGAACAGATGAAATGTTGATACAGAAACCGGACCTTTCATCAGAGTTCCACAAAGTGCAAACCATCATTCAGACAACCAGGGAAAACTGATCCTGCTCTATAGGCTTCTCCACCCAGGCCCCAAGGCCAGCCTTCAGAAATGCTTTAAACAAACACTCTTTGGCAGTTTGATAGTCCACAGCTACCTGTTTTGTTTCATGATATATATTTGGCTTATTGACTTTTGAATGAAGACTGGCAGGAAGCTGGATAAATCAAAGAGAAAAAAAGAGATATTAATCTAAAGCACCACCTTGATTGCTCTAAATTCTTGTGAACTGAAACCCAGTAAACTGATTTTTTTTAATAAAACTTACATTAGAATTAATCTCTAAATCAACACCAAATACCCCATGTCCTTCCTCCTATTTTGTAATTCTAATATTAAATTGCAATGCTTTCAAACCCACAAATAAATAGCATGTGTTCAAACATTAACATAGAATCTTACTAACAGAAAAATCATTTGGACTTTAAAAATCCCATCCTTTTCCAATCAACTATTCATTTCTGTTTCATGGTTCAGTCCCCTTTAGTGAGGGCTATTGAAAGCAGAGCAATCCCAGGCCAATGCTGGCTGTGGAATTCTGGGAGTTGAAGTCCACATGCCTTAAAATTGTCAAGGTTGAGAAACACTGCTGGCCCAAAGGTTATTTGAATTACACTCAGCAGGATGAAAACACCTGCATCTCACAGCCCATTCTTTTCCTAGAGAGAAAGGGCCCACCGAGCTACAGCCATGCCCAGCCATGCAGAGGCAGGTGCTTTTGAACTAGGTAAACCAGTATGATGGAGAAAGAAAACTCTTTTCTCCCCAGAAATTTTTATGGATTTTTTAAAATTAGGTTTCTTTAAATAAATATTTTCAAGTGCTCACAGTACATTGCAGTAGTCACCTTCTCTGTTTTAAATAAATTTCCTCTGCTTCTTATTCTTGTATTTTATTCTCCTCAATTCAATAGAATAAAGGGAAGAACTTATATCAAGTGCTCTTGTCCTTTAGTAAGATAACTTTCCAAGAATGAAAACAGAATTTGATTTGGGGAAGAAGCTGGCAAGTAAAATCCTGAACTCAAAAGAGGATTAAGTCTGGCAGGGGATGTGAAGTAAAACATTAAAAAAAAAATAATAATCCCAATTCAACCCTATTGGAGAGGTGGCTGGACAGCAATTCAAAATGTTACTGGCTATTCATTCAAAGCTCTCCTCCCTCCTACATGACCCAGAGACGAGATACATAGCCTATCCTGTACATAAACATGAACAGAAAAAACACAATGGAAGACCAGGAACACCCATATAGACCCAACCTAGATATGTTTGTTACAAAGGATAATAGTCACTGCTGGTAAAAAGGTTGGAAACAATTTTAGAAGCCATGCTCTACATGTTTTTCTCTTGTTCGTAATTTTTGTAAATGTTATTACATTTTGGGAGGAGGAGGAGGAGAAGGAGAAGGAGAAGAAAAAAGGAGAAGAAGGAGGAGGAGGAGAAGGAGAAGACTTTCTATTCTTATTAGAAATGAATATGTGTAGATTAGAATTCCCCAAAGTGCTCAGTATCAACTCGCAAGGGTCCATAGGACTAACCAAGCAAGCAATGTTATAATTAGTAGTATTACTATTAGTAGTGGTGTACTCTTTGTTAAAATAGAATTTATGAAATTATTTTCATATAATATTTAGGAGCCGATGAATAAGCTCAAACTTCATAAAGAATTTGAGGACCTTTGATGTAGACTTTTTTTCCTAGATCATTTAAGCCAAATTCTTAACATGGCAAAGCTTTTCCTCTGTCCTATGAGATAAATAGGCGATAAGAAAAGAAATTTACACCATGGATAGGAAAATTGTGGCTCTGCACATGTTGTCACATAAAATTTTCCTACATTTCTTATAATTGATGAGGCTGATTGGGGCTTCTGGAAGTTTAGCTCAGCAATAACTGAATAGCAAGTAATTCCCCATCAAAGAAGGCAGTATGTCTTGGTTCTATTGTTTATTATTTCCCGGTTGTTCTTGGAGCAGCAGCAACAATAAAATCATATTTGATGTTCCTCGGAGTTCATACCTTGAAAACATTCAGCTCTCAGAGATAAAATCCTATAGTAAGTCCAATAGCCATAAAGTAACACTGGACTGTCTATTTTTGAAACCTACCTTTGTATAAACACGCATCCAGCGAGTATATAGTGCATGCTTACAAAGACGGGATGCACGACCAAGCTCATCCTTGCCTGTTGTAGCATTAATAACTTCCAGCCCAGCATCCCCAACTGTCCAATTCACACTGAAATTAGGTGCTTTTCCTGGCTGACGGGCTTCAGCATTGCTAATACCTGAAATGACCAAACAAAAATATCATCAGTATCTGAAGAAAAAATTAGGGTGATACCAAATAGATTGTAGATCTGTTTTAGAGATCAAATCATTTCCAATGTTTAATAAAAGCTAGTATATAAGATCAAGCATATGTGGGCACAAAAGCAGTTATAATGTGTTGCTCTCCTATTAACTATGCTTTCAGTTCTATATATTAAGAGGAAAAAAGTACACTATCACTTTTAAGAATAGATTAAATGTATTTACTATAATATATATTTGATTTTCCTGGTGTTAACATTTTTAATTACAATTTTCAGCAGGATGGAGTTAGCAGAGATGGCTAAATTGGCTGCTTCGATAAAAGAAAAAAAAACAATTACTGTTGTTTCTGCTTGGAAACCGCTTCTGGGCTTTGTGCTTGAGGTAGAACAAAATGAAACTTTGATTTTAGGTTTTACTGATTAGATAGATCTGTTGTTATAAAAATGGCTAGTTTATACTATTTTGGAAAAGTAAAAAGTTGAGGTTCAATGTTACTATCTTATTCTACTGCACCAAAGGGAGTGGGAAGTCAATGCTTTTTATTTATTTTTCCCTTCTTTTCTACACTTTTTTCTTCCCTTTTTCCTCCCCTATTTTTCCTATTATATGCTTTTGTATTTTATATTATAAATTAATAAAAAGAATAAAACAAAAAAAAGACTTAATGGTGGAGTTTTATCTAATGTATAGTTTCATGGTTCTTTGGAAAAAAGCTTTTTTATATAATACAGCCATTTATACAGCTTGTGTAAGAGATTACTAGTCTACTTAAATAGGCTTCTTAGGTCTCCTGGTGAACATTCTCCATTTAAGTACTAACATTTTATTTTTCCTCAGCAATGGCAATTTTTAACAAAAAGCAGCCCTTGGCTCTAACAGCAATCTTTTCACTCACTTCGCACTATGTTCTTCAGTTATCCTAAAACAAACCACAACATTATTCAGTGTGTGGCTCAGTTTTTAAATTAATTAAAACTTTGAGCAACATTCCTTTAATAAGGCATAGATGTTTGCAGTCATGTGCAAAAACAATAGAAGGCTCTCTCATGCCCATCAATTTCACCATGTTTATCCCTAGTTTTGTACTAAACCATAGTCAATAGCAACAGTCTAGTTCAGACATGTTAAACTCAAGGCTTGCGGGCCAGATCCAGCCCGTGATGTGTTTAGATCTGGCCTGCAAGCAGACTAGTAGGAGAGTTGATTCAGTATGTCGCAGGTGTGTGTGTGTGTGTGTGTATGTGTGTGAGTTGAAGTGGTGGCAGCGTGAGATAGGCCTGGGGGAGAGTCAGCTGGAGCTACAGTGTTGCTGGGGCTCTGCTGAAGCCCCGGGATCAGCACATGTGGCTCCAAATGATCAGGGCTTCCAGCAGCCTTGGGGGTGGCCAGCAGCTGCATGCAGTCTTCGGGGAAAGAGTCAGCTGGAGCTGCCAGGGCTTGGTGGGAACCCCAGAATCAGCGCACGCAGCTCCAACTAATGAGCACTGCGTGAGAAGGCCAGCCGGGCAATGAGTGAGTGCATGGGGAAGGAGAGGAGAGGATAGAAAAGGAGGGGTTTGGGCAGGAAGGAGGAGGAGTGAGGTGGGAGAGAAGGCAATAGGGTGAGGAGGCTTCTGTGGGGCAAGCCTGAAGGAGAGAAGGGGACAGCAACTGGCTCTTCGAGGGCAACCATGATGCTGATGTGTCCCTCAATGAAATTGATTTTGACACCCCTGGTCTAGTTAATTCTGAGCTCTTGGAATAGATTTACCATTTATTGAAGTTATTGTGTTAGCTACAATATTTTGAAAAGCATGACAGCACATTAGAAGAGATTTAATTTTTCTTTCCTTTCATGCTTACCACTGAGTAAAGGTCTGTTAAGTATATAAAGAGGTGGTAGATCTTCAATCTCTGCTATCCGCTGATATGCTGCCCTGGACAAATGGTCTCCATGATACAAACTTCCCAAGATAATGCTTGAGAGGTATATTGGCTCTACAAAGAGGCTAAGTAAAGCTCCTTGAATGCCAAGTACATTCCATCTAAAGGGAAACAAATAACATCAACTGCTTTTAGCATGTCAACACTCAACAACAATAATACAGTAGGCATGTGAAGCATTTTTTGTGTATGATTGCCTCTTGAAACTCACCCTGACATTTCATTATTTTTTCAGCTTTTGCTAATTTGTTGCCAGTAATGAGAAAAAACATTAGACTCCAAAGCAAAATAGCACCTACACAATAGACTTCCTAGAACTCTATGGAACACAATCCAGTTTATATGACTGCAAAGAGAAAATAAAATCTTTTATTTCCTGATAGTTGCTATTTCTTATTAATTGTCCTAACTTGGTCAAAGGAAAAGAGAATATTGGACTTGCTAACACCCAGTGTGACTAATTTTTAAGATTCTCAAAAGGTGAAGTCACAAAAGGACTTTGCAGTTAGTGCACTTCACATACTGGAGCTGTGCAGAGCACTCACTGGCCAAGCTGTGTTAGATAAGCATTGGTCAATGCTGTGACAATTAAGAAATTGCAGCCATTTTACCTTTTACTTTACTTGTGCTTTTTCTGTTGCTTGGGATTCTCAGATGTAGAAGGGGGGAAGGGAGGAATGCTTGAGCTTTTTAAGTTAGCCTAAACAATTGCAGCTGGGTGAGCTTCAAGGTCAATTCTAGATAAAGTTTTGGTGGGCTGTAAAGCGGGGAGGATTTTAGATTAATTGGTGAATGTGATTTATGAGGCCTTTCTGGGGTGGGAATTGCAACTTGTTACTTTGTATCGGGGGAGGGAACTTTAGTCTTGGGTTCAACTATGTACGTGCCGATACTTTGTTTCCTGAATAAAATATTCTTTAAGAAAGAAATCCTTACCTTGAAGTTCTTTTAATTGGTTTCATCTATTGGAACCATGACATTAACCTAAGACTCACTCTTTCTTTAAATTTACGGGGTCCTGAGCTCCAGTCACCTACCCAAAGCAGAAGGGAGGCTGACAAAGACTCAAGGAAGATCCCAAAATGGAGAAGAAGGAAGAACCTGTCACCAGCATCATAACCACAGCTACTACATTGGCGGATGGAGCGCAGGCCATTGCACCAATAGAAAGTGTGGTTTCTGAGACTCCAGTGGCAGGGGTGAGACCAAAGACCTGAGAGCACATCTGGTCATCGTAATGGACCCTGCCTAGTGGAGACTCATGGCACTCAGAGATAGCCCAGCCAAAGAAGAATTCTTCGAAGGCCGCTGAAGCCCTGAGCCTCACTAGCAGCAACACAGCCCTAAGTACCATCATCAATGCTACACTAGCCCAGAGCCCATGCCAAGGTTTGATCAGGCAGGGGGCATTCAACGTGGCCTAATGCAGCAGTATGGATGGCTACACGTCTTGCTAGACAGGCAGCAGCCCATAACACTCCCATCTTTTAAATCCACTTTTGATCCTGAGAAGTTAACTTTCTTTTTGAACCAAGTGCATCCCTACATGAATCAAAATGTGCATGCCTACTCGGACCTCACCATGATGGTCCATGTCATAGTGGCAAACCTGGAGGGTGAGGCATTGGAGTGGCTGAATAATTTGCACAATGAACAAGCTCCAGAGCTATGGGACTACAACCTATTTGTCCGAGGACTGAGAGCCAGATTCGAGGACAAATCCATAGCTCGACAGGCAAAAAAGGACATTCATGAAGTGAAGCAGGCAGGCAGATCAGCAAAAGAATATGTACATGAGTTCCGGAGGGTCGCAGATCGTATTGAGCGGTGGCCAGAATGATACTTGGTGCACCATTTCAAGAACAGCCTGGACACCAATCTGTTCCAAGCATGTATCTATCGTGGAATTTCTGATCAACTGCAGGAGTGATACTGGGTGGCAATAAAGATGGACATCGACCTATCCCACTATAAGCAGCCGACAACTCCCGCACTGGAACCGAGACCAGGACTGGCGAGACGACCACCACTTCGATGACTCCCAGCAGCAGGTGCAGTGGAACCGTCTTCAGACCCAGACCATCTTCAGACCCACAGATTAGATGTTTTAGATGTGGCCAGCTGGGTCAGCGGACAGTGGCTTGCCTTGTCCATTCTTGCAGCAGAGAGGCAGCACAGCCCACCAGAGAAAAGAAAAGCAACCCAGCCATCGGCCAAGGAGAAGCAAAGTTGCCAAAGCCGAAAATGTATGCAATGATCCCCCTCAAGGTGGCAGAGTTGCGGCAATACATTGACAAGAATTTGGCCAGAGGATTCATTGAACCGGCAAAATCCCAAGTGGCAGCCCCAGTACTATTCAAAGAAAAGAAAGATGGGTAGCTCCGCCTCTGCGTTGATTATAAGGGGCTCAACTGCGTGAGCATAGAAAATATGTACCCCCTCCCTCTACTGAAGGATTTGTTAACCCATCTAGCGAAGGGGCGAATTTTTACTATATTGGATCTGTGAGAGGCATATTACCGCATGAGAATAAGAGATGGCGATGAATGGAAAACTGCTTTTAACAGTCCTTTCGGCAGCTATCAGTTTAAAATTATGCCATTTGGATTACAAGGACCTCCTGCTGTGTTTATGCAGCTGATTAACCAGGTGCTACACAATCATTTGTACAAGGGTGTTTTAATGTATCTTGATGACATCTTAATCTATAGCGAGAATATGGCAGACCATGTGGGTTTAGTGCAAGAGATGTTGAAAAAACTGCTAAGCACTAAACTCTATGTCAAACTGTCAAAGTGCAAATTTCATCAGACACGTTTGGACTATTTGGGCTATAAGATTTCCAGTGAGGGCATTGAGATGGATCCTGCCAAAGAGAAGGCTGTAATTGAATGGCGACGTTCAAAAACAGCTCAAAGTTTCCTGGGGCTCGCCAATTTCTACCATCAGTTCACCCCATCATTTGTTGAGACTGCTTTACCCCTGGCAGAACTGTTAAAAACAGGCAAATATAGGGGGAAACCACAACCTGGTCAGCCACTACAACGGACTATGGAATGCCAAACCACCTTTGAGAACTTAAAAAGACTATTTGCTGCTGAACCAGTCTTAAAACACCCCTACCCAGAGGAGCCATCTGTTATTCAAGCCAATGCCAGCAATGTGGCTGTAGGAGCTGTACTTTTGCAGAAAAATTGTGATGGGATTTTACAACCCTGTGCTTACACTTCAAAAAAGTTCACCAACGCTGAACAAAGATGGGCTGTTTGGGAGAAAGAAGCCTTTGTGATTCGATGGGCTTTGTTGATGTGGTGTCACTACCTAGAGGGGAGCAAGGTGCCTTTTGAAGTTTGGACTGATCATAAAAACGTAGAGGCATTGAAAACTAGGGAGTAAAACAGGGGTAAACTATCTCCCAAACAGGTATGCTGGCCGCAGTATTTTAATCATTTTAACTTCACCCTAAGATACATACCACGTGGAAAGAATTTCTTGGCCGATACCCTATCCAGACTGCCCCAGTATAAGAGCCAGCGTGAACAAGTCATAGATTCTATCATGTCTGCACCACAGGTTATTTCTCAAATTAACCCACAGAACCCTCAATCTCCTAACCCCGATGAGCTTGTGACAAAGAAGTTAAAACAAGATTTAATTAATGATCAGTGGTTTAAGGATAGTCGAAGCATCCTGACCCAAAGGGATGGGTTGGCTTACAAGGGAGGAAAATTATATCTGCCTGAGTCACTCAGACTTCAAGCGTTCCAGTGCAATCATGATGTAAAACAGGCTGGTCACTTTGGTTACTTAAAAACGCTGCATTTAATTCGGAGGCGATTTTGGTGGCCGGGCTTGAAGAATGATGTAGAGAACTATGTCAAAAGCTGTGCAGTCTGTGCTACCATGAAAAGAATTCCAGGGAAGCCTCCTGGACTGTTGCAACCTATTGTGGACCTTCCCAACCCTGGGAAGAGATCGCTATGGACTTTATCATCGAGTTACCTGAAAGCAGAGGAAATACAGTAATTGTGACTGATCTTTTTTCAAAGCAGGCTCATTTCATTGCCTGCTCTGGCCTCCCATCAGCCTGGAAATTGGCTAAGATGTTCCTTAAACACATTTACCGACTACACGGTGTGCCAAAGTGGATAATCTCTGGCAGGGGGTTGCAATTTACAGCAAAATTCTGGAGAAACTTTCTGAAAATAATTGATTCAATGCAAGGATTGTCATCAGCTTTTCACCTGTCTATGAATGGGGCAGTTGAAAAAATGATTGCAATGGTGGAACAATACCTTAGGTGCTATATGGATTACCAACAGACAAACTGGACTGACCTCCTCCCATTTGCTGAAGTGGCCTACAACAACACGGTCCACAGTAGCACTGGTTTCACTCCTTTTAAGAAATTCCACTGGAAGGGATTTTATCCCTATCCCTGAATGTTCCCAAAATACCCTGCCTCTCAGAAGTTAAACCAATGGATGTCAGCTTGGAAGGGAATGTGGGACAATGCCAAGAAAGCACTGAAAAAAGCTTCAGAAACATATAAAAAACAAGCTGATAAGAAAAGAGCGGTCATTTTGAGTGGGGGGGAAGGCTTATCTGTCCACAAAATACTTAAGACTCAAATTGCCTAGCAAAAAATTGGGACCAAAATACCTGGGTCCTTTCCCCATAGTGCGAGTTCTAAACCCAGTTACTGTAGAATTGAAGCTTCCTCAGCTTTTAGGGAAGATTCACCCTGTGTTTCACTGCAGCTTGTTAAAACCTTTCAGGGAATCAATTCTAAGATCCCCTCCCAAGAAAGCTCCTGGACCAGTTGTGGTGGCTGGGGAGACTCATTATGAAGTGAAACGTATTCTTGATGCTAGATTGTACAAGGGGAAATTGCAATACTTGGTGCAATGGAAAGGCTACCCATTATCAGAGGCCACTTGGGTAAAGTGTACATGTAAAAGCTGATAGACTTATTCATAAATTTTATGATAAACATCCAAACAAACCGAGGGGAAATCCCTAATCTATGCTTTTGTTTGATTTGCAGGACTTCTCCTTTCTGTTAAGGGGGGACGGATGTCAACACTGTGACAATTAAGAAATTGCAGCCATTTCACCTTTTACTTTACTTGTGCTTTTTCTGTTGCTTGGGATTCTCGGATGTAGAAGGGGGGATAGGAGGAATGCTTGAGCTTTTTAAGTTAACCTAAACAATAGCAGCTGGGTGAGCTTCAAGGTCAATTCTAGATAAAGTTTTGGCGGGCTGTAAAGCGGGAGGATTTTAGATTATTTGGTGAATGTGATTTATGATGGCCTTTCTGGGGTGGGAATTGCAACTTGTTACTTTGTATCAGGGGAGGGAACTTTAGTCTTGGGTTCAACTATGTAAGTGCTGATACTTTGTTTCCTGAATAAAATGTTCTTTAAGGAAGAAATCCTTGCCTTAAAGTTCTTTTAATTGGTTTCATCTATCGCCGTGGTGGCGAATCTATGGCACGCGTGCCACACTGGGCATGCAAAGCCTTTTCTGTTGGCATGCACACTAGAGGGACACTCCCCTCCCCCTCTCCATGTGCGCATGACTAGTGGGAACTGGAGAGGGCAGGAAAACTAAATCCAGCAGCGCTCACATGGGAACAGCTGCAAGAGCTGGGCAGGGAGAATGGAACCTATAAAAGGAGCAGGTTTTGGCGGCAGTGCAGCGAGCGAATGAGCAGATGGCATTTGGAAGCAACGGTGCAGTGAACGAGCAGCAGCAGTTTGGAGAAAAGGTGAGCGAGCAAAGCAGCATGAGTTTGCACTTTCGAGGAGGCAGGTGGGACATGGCAGCTGTTTGCACTTTGCTGAAGCTTGCAGGGGGCAGGAGGAGGAGGATGTGCATGTTTTCACTTTTGAGAAGGCAGGTGGGACCTGGCATCCATTTGCGCTTTGCAGAAGCTCAAGGGGGGAGGAGGATGCATGTGTTTGCACTTCAGAGGAGGCAGGTGGGACATGGGGCCCATTTGCGCTTTGCAGAAGGTTGCAGGGGGCAGGGGGAGGGGGACACACATGTTTGCACTTCAGAGGAGGCAGGTGGGACATGGCGCCTGTTTGCGCATTGCAGAAGCTTGTGGGGGTGGGGGGAGGAGGATGCACGTGTTTGCACTTCGGAGGCAGGTGGGATGTGGCACCCATTTGCGCTTTGCAGAAGCTCTCGGGGGGTGGGAGGAGGAGGATGTGCATGTTTGCACTTCAGAGGAGGCAGGTGGGACGTGGCACCCGTTTGTGTTTTGCAGAAGGTCGTGGGGGAGGAGGACGTGCCTGTTTGCACTTTGGAGAAAGGGAGAGAGAGAGAGAGAGAGAGAGAGAGGAAGGAAGGGGAGGGAAAAGGAAGGAAGGAAGGAAGGAGATGGGAATGATAAAGGGAGGCAGGCAAGGAAGGAGGGGAGGGGGAAGGAAGGAAGGAAGGAAGGAAGGAAGGAAGGAAGGAAGGAAGGAAGGAAGGAAGAAAGGAGGGAGGGAGGGAGGGAGATGGGAATGAGAAGGCGGGAGACACATGACCTTGGAGATGCAGCAAGGGTCATAAGTGAAAAATGGTCATAAGCCACTTTATTCAGTGCCTTTGTAACTTCGAACAGTCACTAAGAATTGTTGTAAGTCGAGGACTACTGTACTTTATCACTTTTTTCCTTTTTGGGGGGGTCATCAAGTTTTTGACACCTTGCTAGGTGACTGGAAAAGCCCTGAGAGCCGGGCTTTTCAACCTTTTCACCAATTGTACCACTTTAGAATATGGCAATATTCAAGTACTACCAGTCACCTAGCAAGGTGTCAAAAACTTGACCCAAAAAAATGGAAAAAAGTGATAAAGTACAGGTAGTCCTCACCCCCCTTTAATATCGTCTTTACCGCCACCCTCTTTAATAACATCTCTTCCCTCACCCCCTTTAATATCATCTCTACCATAGCCATGCCCACCCAGTGGCCACACCCACCCAGCACCCGGCGATACATAAGTGGGTTTTGGGCTGCAGTTTGAGCACTCGGTCTCTAAAAGGTTCGCCATCACTGATCTATCGGAACTATGACACATCAATTTTTGAGGACTGAGGATATTAACAAAATACTTGATCATGTTTATTTGACTGACCATTGCCCTTTCTGGCTTATTAAGTGGAATAATGGGGAACATGACCTGCTGAATCCATGTTGTTGTAAATTCCTCTTTTATGGCACCTTTAAAGGTGACTTTTGTAAAACCTACCATAAACCTAATATACTGGCTCCTAATACTCCTTTCGGATGTCATTGATCAAAATATTTTTCTGGATAGGATATCTGAGTTGGGAGATGAAGGAACTGTAGTAGAATGGTTCTACTAGTAATTGGATAGGTGATTTCAGGAAACTACTACTCTGCCCAGGATGATTATGCTAGGGTGATCCTCAGGTTCCTTTTACCTCCCGTGCTTTTTTTTATTGAAAGAAGCTATTGGAGTTATCAAATGTGAATCACTTAGAGTGTCACCGTTTCTTTTGGTATAATTAATTTTTAACTAGTGTCATAGGCTTATGGACTGCATGAGGCTTATAAACTGGGGTCTTAAGTCAAGATGAAGATACTGTTTTAAGTGGGTCAGCCATCCAGTTAAACGGTGTTCAACCATTGACCTCTGTCTGAACTGAGCCTTGAAACACCAGGAAGCAAGGAAATTGGCAAAATGTTGGCATAATAACTGGTCCTACAAGTGTATATACTACACTGATTTAGAGTAAAAAAAAAAAAAGACTAATTTACAGAGGTGAGAGGTTTCATTTCATTGGCTGCCAAGAGCTCTTAACCCAATATATATTTTTTTACATGTAACATGTGATACAGAGTCTCAACATCCACAGATAAATATTTATGGTAGCTTAATATGCACTTTAGTGAAACTTGAAAGGATTCCAGATTTAATCATATTAGCCAAATAAAACTAAATGCAGTTGAACTATTCTGAGTAGTATAATCAAGTTAGGATACACAGAATTGATTTTTATACATTTTGAGTATCATGTGCTTCTAACATTTCTTCCATATGTCTTGTTGATACAACTCTGATTGACATGTTTAAGTTTGTGGTTTAAGCTTAGAGTAGGTTCAAAAGAGTAGAAGGGCTGTAATATTGTGGAACTTATGCTTTGCATGTTAAGTCTCATTTTAGAATTTCCAATGTACTATGAAGTATAATTAGGTTATACTTAAACAAATTATAATTTGTGTTAAAATACATTTCAAATCATTATTTTTAAATCACATATCATTGAAAAAATTACAGTCACTATATCTCTTGCTTTACAAAAATATGATAAGATTGAACATCATATATCAATTGATTTATAAGAAATACTTAATATTTGATCAAAGAAATCATGAGTAAATAAATATTCTTCTTCTGGCAGTAAGTGATATTTCCAACTTAAAGCCTTCAGCAGACAGGAAAGTACATGCTGTTATCTCCTTTTGTCAATTTTCTCCTATATTTTTCTCTGAAAATTTAAGATAAGCTATCCCAAAGCAGCTATGATCTATGAGAACCAACAGGATGAAGTTGTCAGGGATTGAAAGAGAGAGCACAGTATCATCTGCCTTAAGTTCTTTTAGACAGATAAGCAAGAGAGGGCTCCATCTGTATCTAAAAACATTCAAAATATGGCAATTCATGTGAGGCGAGGGGGACATACCCAGGTCATGCAAGAGCTGCTGAAGGTCTGGATAAGGCTGCACGCAAAAATCTATGGGATGGTTTTGCTTTTTTAAAAAGGATAACATACTGGTGTTACTTTCAAAACTCTCTCAAAATGAAAACTGATAATGTCCCTCTTATGTCCCTGAGCCATAAAATGCTGTCCACCCCAATCTGAAATATATCAATGTAAAAAGATAGCTTACCTAGCTATCTTATCACTGCAAGACATAGTAAGTAACCTCTCTCCCTGAAGAACTCCATCCCACGTCTGGATCGTAGTTGTAGCACGGACAGGGATCGTTCCTTCCCCAGATTCAATTTTTGTCCGTAGTTGACCCCTTGCTTTCCGGTTAGGGTGTCTGTCTCCTTGATCTGAATCATGCAAGCCACCATAGTAACAAAACAAAGCATAAAAGATAAACATTACTTTTAATACAACTATAAAACTTATATATATATTATATGTATTATTTACTTATTATTTATTTTATTTATATGGCATCTTTATTCAACTCAACGTGGCAAGCATACTTGATACTCCTTTCCCCTCCTATTTTTCCCACAACAACCATCCTGTGAGATGACTTGGCCTAAGAGATTCACCTAAAATTCACCCAGTGGGTTTTCATGGCAGAAAGGGACTAGAACTCACAGTCTCCCAGTTTCTAGCCTGGTACCTTAACCATTAAAGCAATAATATTAAGCATTATTTTTATTTATTATTTCAGCCAGGGAATTGACAGAACAGGAAAACAACACAAAATGTAGTGCAATTAGAAAACTTATTATGTGCAATAATAATTTTACCCAGCATTTTATAAACATAAAATTGATAATATTATCTAACCTTCATTGTTAACATTTCATGTATTCAAATCAAAGTAACCTCAGGATTTTTTTAAAAAAATTACCTATAACTTACATATTTCAAAGTAATTTACATACAGAATTAAAGCCACAATAAATAAGCTGTTGTAGGAATGAATGGGTTATTACTATTCTTTACAATTATTTTATATAGTTATTTACAATTAAATAAATAAATTATATACAGATATAAATTGTATATCTTGCATGTGTGTTGAATAATGATAATGAAATCATAGATTAATTCAAAGACATTTTTTATGATGTATGAAGGGGCCAAAAGTGGGTCAGTTGTTTGTTTTATATTAAGGGACTTAGTTGATTTTGATTTTAGAAACTAGAAGAACTCTCTTTGGCTTTATCTAAATAAACTCTTTTGCTTTGGCTTTATTGGAATAATCTCCACCAGAGAACCATTTGTACCTTCTTGGACAGCTTCATGTGGTGAAAATATCCGAGCATCACCACAAGGGGAGGTGCTAATATAGAGATGAAACTGCACATTTTCATCCAATTTAAAACCACCTTGTTCTGACTTGATAAAAATAGATTTTTGCTGGTCTTCCTTATTGCTGAAACAAAGAGGGAAATTCAGGTTGTGTGGAAATATATGCATCAAACAAAACCTAAAATTTAGCATAACTAGATCAAAGATGTTACGATACAGTTATATATTTATTGTAATAAATCAAAGGGAATACTGGGAGGATTGCCAATAGAAGTAAATTATTCTGTAGATAATTAAGATTTTTTGCTTTAGTAATTTAGCAGCAAACCTTACATTCAGTCATGGAATATATCAAAGGAAATTACAAACCACTGTTGTTCACTTACAACTTAGACAAAAACTAGTTATAAACAAATGGCTGAAATGCAGCCTCTGAAACCAACCAAAGAAAAATGAGAAAGAACATTGACTCATAAAATTTATGGGCAATGTCTATAAATTTCTCTAAACACACCCGATTCAGTACTCACTTCCAAATACCAAAGTGCAGAAGCAACCTCTTTGGACATACATACACCAAGCTAACACTTAGCCAAGTATTCAAAATAAAAACATCCATCTATACTCTCATATCCACCAACGCTTCAATGTCATCTAACAGAGTAATTTTTATCTCCCTGGAAAAATATCACAGGATGCCGCATTTTTCCACCCCCATCTCAGGGTCTTTCGATTACCATCATTGTGGTGGGGAAAGAAATAGTGAATTTAAGACAGCTTCACAAAAAGTGGAGTGGATGACCACAGAGGAATGAAAAGCCAGCAAATGGACTGGCTCTTCGTCTCCAAACAAGGAGACAACTTGAAATTGCCCACAAGTACTCCCAACAATTACTCCTCATGAGTACAGTGGTCTCCAGGGAGTTTGGAGTTCTGGGAGATGAGCAATTAACCACCTTGCTCAAACAGCAGTCAGGACCTTCGAAAGAACATTGGGTTCACATATTTCCGTTTTTAAAATTCTTTTGGACATTACTTATTAATTGCTTTTCTGCTATTACCAGTAGGCACCTTGGATTTACAAATTTTACAGTACCAGATAAGTTTCCTTTAATCATTATCAAGAGAAGCTTTAACTATAAGCTTAAGAACTTAATTTTTTTTAATAAACAGCAAAAGATTATTAAAAATTTGACTTTGGAAAGTTACAAATTGGCTAATGATACAGATAACTTTGAAATAAGATTTTGGACTTAATAATAAAGAATCCGTCGCTGGGAAAATGTTTTTGTTTTGAATTTGGAAAAAAAATGATAAAATTAAAAACTGGACACAAGAAGAAACTAGGGGGAGCTAAAGATTATAGCTAAAGGAGAAGAACACCCAAACTCAACTCAAAATTACAGAATGAAGCAAAATATTTTAACATTGGACATATTGAAGGATATTTTGAATAAAAAGATTTTATGGATGAAGAACAAGTTTTACCTGACAAGATTAAGAGTGATTTCAAAGTGGATTTAAAAATGACAGGCTACATGGAAAAAAATGTTACACTGGACTTAATAATTAAAAGGGATATATAAATAACAAACCAAGAAACTGACATGGATAATTTTCCTATATTAGTTTTACAAAAGAGGCTTGTTAAAGATTTAAAGTATTTTATGAGAAGGGACAAAAAATTAAAAGAAATAAAGTTCTATGATATTATTTATACGGATTAAAGATCAAGATTGCTAAAAATAAAACAGTTGATTTATTTGATGAAGGTTAAAATAGATATGTCGTTTATTTCTGGTAACCCCTAATGGACTTTGGTTTATTTGGTCCACATGCCTCTGCTGCTTCCACATTTTCCCTTAACATTTCACTTCCCAGTGAAGTGAAAACTGACAGATTGGTCAAAAGGTTTCATATGAAACACCCCAACAAACCGAAAGATAACCCTTAACATATGCTTTTGTTTAGTTTACAGGATCTGTCCTTCTTGTAAGGGGGGCCGGATGTCAATGCTGCAAATATTGTATATTCTTGCTTTTGACAATATGCAGAATTGTCTGATAAATATGGGGTTAATAAAGAGCAGAAGGGGCGTTGGGGGTAAAGCCCGGGAAAGAAAGAGGAAGAAAACATTTGACCTTCACACTAATTGGATAATGTGAGATATGACGGCTAATTTAGGGAAGGAACATGCTGATAATTTAACTGCTCAGAGGAAGAGAACTTAGATCCTAGCATCCCTCCGTTATGCCTGTGCTGACATTTTGTAACAAAAAAAGACTTTTAGGAAAATAAATGCCTGGAAGTTCTTTGGAATGTTTCATTAGCCGGAACCACAACACTCTCAATAAAAAGAAACCTATAATATACACTGGGCTAGGATAGATTGACTGATCAAAAGGCATCCAGTGAGCTTCTGGGGCTGAGGGTGGATTTGAACCTGGCTCTCCCCAGGGTTAATGCCAATTCTACACTTTAATTATTATGCCACAATAGCTCTGATTTCTATAGCAGGCTTTAAAAGACTTGTGGATTCTTATGCAATAACTTTTTTATAGGCAGTTGAACTAAGTTGCTAAAAGTGGTATTAGTTATTTATGTGACTTACAGAATAATTTGAATTTGCTTTAGACCAATGAAAGGCCACATTAAATAATGAGAAATTCAGAATATCCTGTTTATAATGTAATTTTCTAATTATAACAATTTTCAAGTCACTTCCCTCTCTCTCCATTGTTATAATGATTAAGTTTGAAGTATATTTCTTTAATACTGTTGAATATATTCATACTTTGCTTTAATTAATTTTATTTATAGTGTTACTATACTAAACTAAGAAAAAATGATCTGCTTTAGTTATTTTACATTCAATTTGCTTAAAACCTAATTTTCTGTTTGACCCAAGATTAAAAGCTTTCTATGATTTTGAAGTAGCTTAAGAAAACTTGATGTCAGTTTTGCAGCTGTCTCTATGTCCTATTGACTTATTTGTGCTGGAAATGTGAATGAAGACAATCAGTAAAAATGTATTTTCTACATAGTACACGTCCAGGAAGATATTAATTTTATAGTATGCATTACCAATCTTAATTCTCAAAAATTCTTCATGAGGAGTTCTGCAAAATAAATTCAACAAGAGAACAGACAACCTGGCATCTTCTGTCAAGCACAAAAATATTTCATCTCATATTACTGATGTGAAGATCAGGGAAAAACTTGAGCATAAATAGCCTTAACCACCTTATGGAAACTAGGACCAAATTAACTTACAACAGATATCATCAGTTCAGCAACCAAAGACTATCTCTGAATCAACTGGTCATACTACAAATTCCCTTTGGGGATTTAAGATAATAGATATTAATGTTCTTATTTCCTCAGAAGACAAGCAGTCATACAATTTCCTTCCAAGTATTTCAGAAATTTTCATATATGATTAGAATACTTTTAAAAGTTATTTGTAACATCTCAAGAGGAAACACATGAGACAATCTATGACATCTTGAGATTCCACCCAACATTTACTAATAGATCCTTGTCCATTTATGACTGCTGGTGTATATTTCAGTTCCTGCATATGTTTTTACTTAAGCCCTTCATTCAGTATGACTCCTCTATATTATGAATCATTTAAAAATAATGGGGACTACTTTTATATAAGGACTTTTATATTCTCTCTATATATAGCTATATAACTATTTGTTTTCTGAGGTTTTCGCGGGTATTTGTATATAGGTCTTTGGTTGTTCGGGTTTTCTCCCGCGTAAAATTGGAAGTGTCTTGGCGACGTTTCGACAAAGTCACATTCGTCATCTTCAGGCTGGTGTTTTCAGCTTCTTGCTTTGAGCAGCAATGTCTGGTCTTAGCTGTTTCTTCCTTTTAACTGCCAGTGGGGGTATGAACTGATTGGGTGGGAGCTTGGCTGTGTTCTGATTGGGTAGAGGTGTGTTCTGAATGGTTAGGGGCTTGGCTGTGCTCTGATTGGCTGGGGGAGTGTTCTGTTTGGTTGTGCTCAGGTTAGTCTGAGTTGCAGAGGGGTTTAAGATTTTGGGGTTATGGAGTCGTTTGTCAATAAGGGCGGGTTTCCAAATGGCTGGTAGGCGGGAGGTATAATCTCACTTGTTCATGCTGTGTGGGCGTTTTTCTATCTCGATGGCTTCTCTGATTATTCTGTTATTAAAATGTTCACTTTTGGCAATGGTTCTGGTATTTTTAAAGTCAATTTCATGTCCTGTGGCTTTAAGGGTTGGACCAGGGAAGATGTTGGTTCCTCTTTTTTGACTGAGTTCTTATGTTCTTCAATGCGTGCACTTATTCTTCTGTTGGTTTGTCCGATGTATGTGGTGGGACAAGTGGTGCATGGGATTTCGTATACTCCTTGATTTTCTAATTCAATTTTATCTTGGGGGTTTCTAAGGATGGTGGATATTTTTCTGTTTGTGCAGAATGCTGTTTTGATGTTGTGTTTCTGAAGGATCTTACTGATTCTGTCTGTGGTGCCTTTTATGTATGGGAGGAGGGCTTTGCCGTTTTCTTGTTCTTTGTCTTGGATTTTAGTGGGGGTTTCTTTTTGGATTAGGTTTGTAATCTTATTTCTATGGAATCCATTGGATGTTAGTATATTGGTGAGAGTGTGTAGTTGAAGAATAAGTACACGCATTGAAGAACATAAGAACTCAGTCAAAAAAGAGGAACCAACATCTTCCCTGGTCCAACACCTTAAAGCCACAGGACATGAACTTGACTTTAAAAATACCAGAACCATTGCCAAAAGTGAACATTTTAATAACAGAATAATCAGAGAAGCCATCGAGATAGAAAAACGCCCACACAGCATGAACAAGCGAGATGATACCTCCCGCCTACCAGCCATTTGGAAACCCGCCCTTATTGACAAACGACTCCATAACCCCAAAATCTTAAACACCTCTGCAACTCAGACTAACCTGAGCACAACCAAACAGAACACTCCCCTAGCCAATCAGAGCACAGCCAAGACCTAACCATTCAGAACACACCTTGGTGTGTGGGGGTTATGGAGAGCTATTGTTAACAAACCAGATTTTTCCCAGGGGAAACTTAAAGCTGATTTTGCTTCTTCAGTACTGAGATGTGTATTCAATAAAGTTTATCTTTTATGGCACCTCAAAGCCGTAGAGTTTTCTCAAAGCTTTAAATAGGCTTTAAATGATAGCATCCACAGTATAATGTGATGGTGCTAAAATCATGATAAATATGATGACTTCATTATGAAAATCACAATTACCCATGTGTCTCCTAACATAATGGGTCCCTTGGCCCCCTGCAGATACTCATGGCTTTGAAAGTTATATTAATGTTTTAAAATGTGTACAATAAGCAACTGGCAATTGTGTACAGTTCATTTGTATCTTTAACAGCCAAACTGCTGCATTTTGCACTGACTGCAATTCCCAGAAATTTTAAAGTGTCTTCCATAGATAGTGCTGCATTATTTAAAATGGGATACAGCCAAGCATAAATTAATGGTTAAAGATTGAAATTATTTTATAAATTATTGAAAGACTGAGGACCCCCATATCTGTCTAAGAGCAATCTCCTGAAAATCTATAGAATGCTGCTCCATTAAAATTGATAGTAGTACAAAATTATTTCCTATATGGGTTATCTCAGAGATAGAAAGAAGCATTAATTCAATTGCTATTATCTGAAAGTATCAAATCAAACCATTGTTTTTTTCATATTTAGGTCTTAGCATCTTATGAAGTGTACTATGTCTTCATAGAAATTTGTATGAACACAATATTCTGTGATCCTATCCATAGTGTGATTGATAGAACCTGCCTCTGTAGAGTAAAAGTCCTTTGAACTTACCTTAAATGTAGTTCAAGTTGTGTATAAAGAAATTTAAGTAGGCATCTCCGAGCTATAATTTCTGCATGGCAATCATTCAAAGCAAGACCACGGTCACTCATATATTCTCCATTAATACATTTTGTTCCTGTAGAAACACTTATAACCTGAGCGTCTTTCACATCAGTACCTGGAAAATCAGTTTCAGGAGAAAAGACTTAAAGAAGGTTTTTCTTCCCAGTCATCTTAAACATGTAGCCTAATGGATACTATCTAATAAAAATAATTTAATAATTAATGATTTAAATAATTAAATTGAGTTAATTTTCAATTCTAAATAATTTTGAACTCTAAATTAATCACAGATATTTGAAGTTGAATACACAGATATTTCTGTATGGATTGCCTTTCAAATTTTGGAATCATATAAAACTGATTAAATTATTAATTTGCATAGTCTGGATTTTATACATTATATTGTCAAACCATACAGCTATATGCATTCTTGGATGGACTGAAAATATCTGTACAATTAAATCATTACTAGATTTAGATTACATACAACACTGATCAAGCTATTTATTTAAATCCATATCAGATACAGTGGGGCTAGGTGAAAGTTTGTGAATTTTAGAGAAAAAAATATTTAGTTTCCAGCTTTGCAGTCTCAGGCATTTTTTGTTCTGAGTTCTCAATTAAACTATGAGTTGAATTTTTCATGCAATACAGGATAGTAGATTTGGTTGTCTATGAGCAACATCATTTAAAGTACCAGATTCTAATTTGTGGAACTTGAACAAATATGAAATGACATTAACTATAAATTTAAACTGGGAATGTTTTTATCACCATTTTATTTACATATTTTAATCAATGTGATTAAAAATAAATATATTTGTTCATTATAATTGTTAACTAACTGAAATATATATGGGCATGAATAAAACATAACTTTCTAGAAGTCAGAGAGTTTAAGAGTCTTACTGATTCCTTTTTTCTGCCTTGTTAAATTTTTCTCTCTCTTTCAATATATAATTTATTTCACTAGTGCAACAATCAATTCTATTTATGGGACAATCATATATTTATGGATTATGGGTGCCATGCCTACAGAATGTATTTAACTCAGTGAATTCCAGTCCATTGGGGTCAAAATATCTCTACCCTTTAAGTATTGAATATATCATGGATAAAATATACATGATTATAACAGTGAAACTATCAATTATTTATTTAAGCTGCACTGTATGATTAAAAGCATTGCTGTTGTTAAAATGTTATTATGTTAAATTTGGGATAATATAGTATTTAATTATTATAAATAGCTACTTCATGTATATGATTAAGCAAAAGAGAAAGAGGGCTTTAAAATTAAAAATAAAAACAATGATTTGCATACTTATGTATACATGCCCAATAATAGTTAATATTAAAATATAACATTTAAAGATTAGAATTAAATATGAATTACTAATTACTAATAATAACTTTTTTTACATTATTAAATATGGGAAAGAAAGGGACAATATCTATTTACCTTGATCACTTTATTTTTTATACAAACAAGGGGATAAAGAACCCAGCTGCATGGCAGGTGGGTCTTGTTTTGTTTTACCTGTTGTCATGACAACACCGGCTAGCACTTTTCTACGTGCATGAGGTGATGTAAAGTTATCTGTCAAATCGCTGAATTTCTCTACGACCAAGCGTGCAACAGCATCAGCTAAAACCTGCAAAAATCATATTGGTATGTTGGACAATTCAGAAACACAAATCTATTTCTTACTTTAAAATGAACACTAAAAACCTGCCCTAACAATGTTAGAATGAATTTATCCATTTGCACCGCATTATCATGCTATGTTCTATGGCAGTGTTTCCCAAACTTGACAATTTTAAGGCAACGCTGGCTGTGGAATTCTGGGAGTTGAAGTCCACATGCCTTAAAATTGTCAAGTTTGGGAAACACTGTTCTATGGCATCCCTTAGAACAGAACAAATAATTGGAAACTGGAAGGATGACCCAGATATACTGTAAAATTAAAGGGAATTAAAAAGGGATGACTATGGATTACGTACATATTTGGCTAGAAAATCACACAAGTATAAAAATTGATTGAAAGGAAGATTCTGCTTCAGAGACGTCAGTCCTATATCATATAATGGATGACATTCATTATGATTTTTATCAAAATCACAAAAAATGTTGAGTAAAGTATTTCAAATATCTTAAGAATAAAAGATTCTTTTTTAAAAAATCAAATGAAGAGTTTTTAAATTACCACAGTACTAGAGGGGGTAACTAGGAAATACACATTGAATATAAACAATAAATGCTTAACAGCGAAGGGAATAACATAATATTTGAAAAATGACAGTTATTTGGTTAGTTAGCCAAATCTTTCATGTTGCTGAACAAAATCCAGAATTGGCCAGTTCAAACATAACACTATTAAAGTTGGGGTCAAACAATAAGGAAAGAGAGCTTCCAAATTGCTTTACCAACTGCTGCCTAATACCAAACAGAACATAGATAAAAACTATTAAAATTATCCATTTTTTAACCATTCAAATAATCTCCCTTTTTAAAACAACCCAGTATTATTAACTGTCAAGAGGAAAAACTTTATTAATTTACTGCTGAATTCACTTAAAACAAATATTGTATTTCTAATTGTTAGAAAAATACCTATGATATACAGGTTTCATATTCTAAGAACCATGACTTGATTTTCCATAATATCAGGCAATAAGCTCCCACTGAATTGGGCTATACATCAGGTTTTTCCTAGAATGATCTATTCTAAGATTTTTTTAAATTTAAAATTGCAAGAATGCCATAGCATCCGACAGCCCTGAGTATGCATAATAAACTTTGTAATTTCTTTATCTCTGTTTTTATGTAGATGTGTATGTTTGTGCCTTCCAGGGAGTCCTGATTCCTGACCACTCCCTGCACACGTTTCTGCAGTTTCTTTGGCAACCTTTTCAGAAACAGTTCGCCTTTGCCTGTTTCCTAGGACTGAGAGAGAGAGTGATGGGCTCAAATTATTCAGTTGGCTACCTGTCTCTGGGGGACTAGTATTCATAGTCTCTCAATTTCCAACCCGGTACCTTTACCACTATACCAGACTGGCTCGCTCTAAATGCAGCTCACTATAGTGGCGAATATCTGTAGCTCGGGTGTAGGATGGAGTGGAGGTTCATTCTCCGAGCTTGTGGGCTGGTTTCTGAACGTTTCACTATCAGGCTAGGTAACATCTTCAGTGGAGTTTATGGGATGTCAGTGTTCTTCTGCTTATAAGGGCTTCAGATGTGGTCATTGGTCTTGCAATGTCACATCAGGGTCCCCACAGGTCAGTCAGGATCTTGTGATGGGTCTTCTGAAGGGTCAGGTGTGGGTGTGTCAAGTGAGAGTCTTGTGATTGAATGGTGTACAACAAAAAAGAGCGCACATTCATTCCCAAAAGCAGTCACAGGATATAGGTCTCTGTTTGTGGCTGTGTTCCTCAAAATGCGTGATGGATTTGGGAGAATACTGAGGAAGACATGAGGCAAGGCTGAGCAACTCTTGCTAAAAGCTATCTATCAAGGTCATTATAATTTAGTAGATGACCAACAGAAGTGATGTGGGGAGAATGTGTCAGCGGAGTATTTTAGGGGTAGTGTCCCTTTAAGAGACTGTATCTGAGGTTCAACTCTCTTGAACCATTTGTATATAACTGACTGCCTTGTATTCTGTATGCTCCCTGAATGTTGTTTCATATTGTATATTTAACCACAGTTTTTTTTGACAAACCACTGTCAGATGTTTATGCTCCTGTGTTATCACAGGGAGAAAATAAGAAAGAGGTTGCAATAATTTATAATTTTAAACAACACTAACAATGGAGGAAAAATTGTTCATTGTGAAGTCCAGGCAGTAGGGAAATGAAGTTAGTTGGTTAGTTATTTTGTTAGTTATCGAATTTGTTTGCCTCACGGTTCAGATACAAGTTGGGCAGAAGAGGAATAAAAGGATCAGTAAATCTTCTCATCTGTAATTCCCAACCTTGTAAGTTAAGCAACTTAGCCTAAATCAGTTTCTATATTTGTGTGACAATCAATAACAAACCTTCCATATTATTTTTTCAATTATTAATAATGGGAAATATATAATCATGTTCTAGTACTATTATGAAACATGGAACTCCATGCATTTTTAATTTTCCCCCCAGTTCACTCTTATTCACATAGATTCAGCAGGGGGGGGGAATACTATACATATTGATCTTTTAGCTAAGGAGCAATGGAATGTTTCAATATTTCCAGGGATTTAGACCTGATTTGAACAATGAAACTGCCTTGTTCATTTGCCAGGTTCATTTTTGTGGGAAATTTGGAGGTTACAGAAGCCAACCAATCCAGAACTGCAGAACTGGCATGATATACTTTTGGCTGTCTTGGGATGACTCAGTACGTTTGAAAAAAACTGGATAACTGATGGACAAGACAAATGTAACACAATGAATTTAATTAAAAAGTGGGCTTGAGATTTTAGAATTTTATTTCTTTAGGCCCTATGGTATTTGAAGCATACCATATGCTTGTTTATAAATAATACCCTATTAGTGACTCTACTCAATGTGTCTTTAGACAGGTAGCAAGCGGGAGCAAACTTTCTGATATATAACTTTCCCACCTCAACCTATAAAGTGTGTCTCCCAAAGTGTGTCTCCCAAAGTGTGCTGGCTACCACACTAATTTTTTTTCAATTAGTTTAAAAAATTCTTTCAGAATTTTGATTTTCCTTTGCTGCTATGCTTGAGGTTTTGCATATTTCTGATATTTTATTTTTATTATTTTTAAGTCTAACGCTTTACTATCACTGTTTACACTTAATTTATTTAGGCTAAATTGTATCTCACCCTTACTCATTCAATAAACAAGTAACACACTTTACAAACAAATTAAATTAAATGTATGAGCAAAACTGCACTGAAGTGGAATTTGTTTCCTGCCTGAAAAGTCTCATGAAGATCTAGCAAGGCAAAAAGACACTAGTGACAACATCTCCAATGGTTCATACAGTTCTTGGTTCGGCATCCCAGGATTCTTGGCCTTACCTCTACAATCAGCCGGTGGCCATGTAGTACTACGCTCAGCACAGTGGTGGGATTCAGCTGGTTCACACTGGTTTGGTAGAACTGGTAGCTAATTTCTTTTGAGTTTGGAGAATTGGTTGACACGTGGCAGAAACGCCACCCCCACCCGCCCCCAATTGGACCCATGCGACACCTTCTTTCCAGCTCCAATGCGGTCCTCTGTCACTTCCTCCGCCGCTGTGAGCAGTCCCACAAACAAAAGAAGTTTATGGGACTAAAAAAAAAGTTCAATCAATCAATTCCAACTTCGCAAGATTTTTTTTTCACAAGAAGTTGGAATTGATTGAACTTTTTTTTTTTAGCCACAAAACGTTTGTTTCTGGGACTGCACATGGCGGCAGAGGAAGTGACGGAGGAGCTGGAAAAAAGGTTAGAAAAGAAATGGTTTGGGAAGCGAGGGCATCTGGCCGGTGGTGGGGAGGGCAAGATCTCCAACTTCGCGGTAGCAGAAAAATGCTTTCCAAAGAAATGCTCCGGCGCTCTAACTGCCACTTTGGTGGCTGTGTGGGCAGAGCTGCAAAGAGGGCTTTGACAGGGAGTGAAAGGGAAGAGGGTGGGTGGGCAGGTGAGGGGGGATCTGCCAAAGCCATCCGGAGGAGAAGATGAAAAGCAGCCCCCGCCTCGCCCTCCACCAGCAGTTCAGAGAAGCTGCCTTTGAGCTGCAGTGAGTCGTGCTCAGGAAAAGGAGAGCATGCGAGGCTGGGACGGGGGGGAGGGAAACCAGCCATGCTGGGATGCATCTGGCCACGTGGGACCTCAGTGATTTAGTGGGCGGCTAGTTGAAGAGAGGGATGGTTGCAGTTCTGCCTGCTTTATTATGTGGCAGGCTATTAACAGGTAGCACATTCCATTTCATTAAAAATTTTAAAAAATATTTTTTAATGAAATGGAGTGGGCTGCCTGTTAATGGCTTGCCCCATAATAAAGCAGGCAGAACCCCAACTGTCCCTCTCTTCAGCCACCCGCCCTCTAATTTTGGTTCTATAGGAAGAAGGCAGGTATCAAATGGCGACTTATTATTTATTTCTCCAATCGCCTGTGTCTGGTGTTAAAACTGTAGCTTTCAGGGAGACCGTGTGGTTGAGGAAGGTACCACTTGTAATCAAAAACATAAAAGGCGCTGTTCTGAATCATGGCAAACTGGCCACGGAGCCCCATAGGTGCGGGCGGAGATGGCTCCGGGATGGCCGGAAGGGAGCCGATACCTGGCCCAGGCCTCGTCTGCTTGACAGCCCTGACAGGGGCAGTGGCTGCTGCTGCTCTGAGCCCCTCAACCCACTGGCTACCGAGGGAAGCAGGAGGAGGCGGTGGTGGCAATCCCTGCATCGGCTGGTCTGGCTGGCAGCAGCTCTAGGAGTGAAGCTGTGCTGCCCATCTTGCATGGGGGGGGGCTGGTAGGGTCCCAGCAGATGATGCACTGTGGAAGGGAGATGGCATACTACCAGCCAGGCCTGGCGATGCAGTGATCACTGCTGCCTCCTCCTCCTGCTTCCCTTATGACTAGCAGATGGTATGCTGTGGCACCTGGGCAATGCATGGGGCTGGGAAGGAGGAGGAGGCAGCGGTGATCCCTGCATTGCCAGGCCCAGCCAGCAGCATGCCATCTCCCTTCTGCAGCGTAACATCTGCTGGGCTAGCAGTGGCAAGGGGCCAGGGGTGCACACAGGACGATGTGGAGCAGCAGCAGTGAAGGGTGGGCATGCACCTTAATAAAGCAGGCAGAACCCTTCCCCCGCCACCGCCCCCACCAGCGCAAAGATGGGCGGCACAGCTTTGCTTCTGGAGCTGCTGCTGGCCAGGCCTGGCGATGCAGGGATCGCCACCACTGCCTCCTGCTTCCCTGCCTGGCTGGCCAGTCGAGGGGCTCAGAGCAGCAGCCACTGCCACCCCCATCAGAGCCACCAAGCGGATGGGGCCCAGGCCAGGCAAGGGCCCACTTCTGGCCATCCTGGGGCCATCTCTGCCTGCACAAATGGGGCTGCAGTGCAGGAGGGAGACAGCCACTGCTCTGATTCCCCCCCTGCCAGCCGCTCCCCCTCCAGCCCCCTGCCCGGTGCTCCTTCTATGCAATCCTACATGACTGCAGTGTGGATAAGAGGCTCAGCCAGCAGGTGTGCTGCTTTCCCCCGCAGAAGTGTCCCAGCCTTTCTGTCTCCCCAGCTGGACCCCCTCACCTTCCCCCAGCCGGGACCTGCTGACCCCCCACCCTTCTGCACCCAACCCATTCCGAGACTTCTGCAGCCCCTCGCACCATATCCTCCTGCCCCTCCCCAGCTGGGACCTCCAGCAAGTCCACAAACAGGCGCTCCTGCCCCCCTGCTGGGACCTCCTGCCCCCACCCCAGCTGACCCCTTGAGCAGCCCACCCCAACCATGGCAGAGGGAGGGCAAGGCAATTGTTAAATTATTTGAAACCCACCACTGGCTCCAAGGCAGTACAAAAACAATGAGAACAATTGTGATGTTTGTAAAATTATACAGAGGACTGCCATTTTTAGCAATATTGGATTCTGTAACCCTCAAGGGATCCAAAAATCCCAAAAATCTAATATATCTAGGAACAGAGACAGGGCAGTTTTACCTCCTAAATGGACAATGAACAATTGACCTGGTGATAGTACAAGCAGTGTCCTTCCTTATTACCATGTGCATTCAGGGAAACAATGTGTTTGAGAGCTATTCTTTATTTAAAGAAATAGCAGCCACTCACATGTACCATATGGGAGAAAAAAGATAAAATGGATGACTGAATACTAGTGTTGGTAGCAACATAAAAAGTGATATGCTTATAAGGAAGTGACTACCACCACTTAGATGAGTCATCTCCAGTCTTGCCTACATACAAACAGTTACATGCTTTACCACCTGATTTTGGCAAGGCATTATTTAAGTTATACAAATTACCCATGGCTTTCTGGCAAACAACATTGCTATGGATGTTTGCTCATAATGACAATACAATACTATAATAGTAGTTCCATCCTATCCTAAGCATGTTTCACTTTGCACAAAAATAGGATTGATGAAATCATACCTAAGGCTCAGGATTACTATGCCTATTTTCTTAGCAATATAAAATATTCTCAGGAATAACAAACAACATAACTTTTCCATAGCAATATACACAAAATATAATTAACAGACCTGGCAGAAATATATTAGTAGTATATGAGAATTTTGTAGCTTTCCAGGTATGTTTAATTGGAATTACAATAAAACTATTCCAGCACTGTAAAAATTTGCAACATGAATACCCTATATTTTTTTTCTCACCTGTGGCAAATGTAACTGGAGACCCTCACTAGGAATAGGTTGGTGAGATGGTGTTTGGTCCAGCTGCATATTAAACAAAGACGCGAGAGCTGACTGAGCTGCCCGAGCCTTTGCCAGTTTTTTGTTCCGTCCAGATCCTTCAAACATTTGGCCATCCACTGACACAGCCATTACAAAATTCTTGGCATGACTCTCTCCACTTTCTGAAATAAATTCATACTTTAATCCTGGTCGAAGTTCATTTAGTATCATCACTGGATTCTTCCCACTGGTTGATGCATACGGTGATGGAGCAGGGAGAGATGATTGGATAAAACTACTAGCCACAGCGGATGAGAGGCTGAAATCTGCACTGGAGGTAAAGGAGCCATCTCCATTGGATTCCAAGTAAAGGGAATGCTCAGACTGAACTGGATTTTCAAACCCATTGAAGAGAGTGTCTGAGAAATCGGCCTGGTCAGAAGTAAAGTCTGTATTTACCGAAAGAGTTCTGCCCATTGCTAGATAAGCTTCTGATGCATTCGGAAATTGAACAAAGGACCTCAGAGCTTTCTCAGCTGCATGGAGCTTTGCTTTCTTTTTTGTGGGACCAGAACCTTCAAACATCTGCCCGTTAACTTCTACAGCCATCACAAAAATTGGAGCATGAACTGGTCCTGTTTGGGAAAGAAGCTTGTACTGTAAGCCAGGCTTGATTTCATTCAGCTGCATCAGGGCATTCTTGGGCAGCACTGGACCTGGAGTTTTCTTTTTCTTCTTTGGGCGGAACTTGGAATGGCCATTGCTTCCCTCGTCCAACAGCCGCTTCCTGCTGCTAGTGCCTCCACTATTAGGGAGCTGATTCCCCTCCCCGGCACCTTGCACAGTCCCGTCTCTAGGTGGAATGTTGTCCATGTTGCGGTTCTCTTTAATATCAGTGTTGCCTGAACCTGTGATGCCCAGAAAGAGTAACTTACAATGCCTTCGTTGCAGGACCTTGTAAATGTAAAATTTAGAGATTCCTTTATCTACCTTTGCAACTGGTTAAGTGATGTGTGCTCAAATATTATTGTTATTCATTTATTAACCGTATACACAATTTATTTAAATATTTTGTACTCAGTATTGACAAATATTTTTCATTTTGCAAGCAGAAAAGCTATTAAAATATATATATTATAAATGACATCCTTAATTCTAAAATGAAAACAAACTATCAGACATCTTTTTAGAAGCTATTTGCTCATCTCTATCACAAAAAAGAAAGTTCTTCCTTTGGGGGAAAAAATGACTGACAATCTAGTTCTTCAAATTGTAGTCTTGATGCCAAGCTTCCCTATAAACTTTAACTTTCAGGATTCCTCTAAGAAGCCTTATATACACCTCTACACAACTGGATATTTACCTGGCCCTTAAGTTTCCCTTCATATTAATGCTGAATGTATTAATGAAGGCATTTTAAAGTGCAGCTAGCAATTGCTACTCACTCCCTTGAATGCATGAGGTGGTCCCTATAATGTATGGAATTGTTTCAAGTAAATTTCAGGACACACATTTTTTTTTTTAAAAAAGTCACCTTTATTAAGAAAATATTTTCCTCATATTCATCACTATGCTTGCTTGGAGAACTAACTACCAAGAGATTTATCTGTAGACTTTTAATTGGATGTTTATTTAGAAACTTCAGTATCTATTATGCATGCTGAAGGTATAAAATTGGAAAATAGAGCTATACAGAAACTAGTCCCTGACAAAGATATTTGTATTTCCATGAAAAATGAAGATATCAATAGTCTCTGATTCTTTCAATGACACACACACACACAAAATTGCTTTCAGGAATCCTAAAGGATGAAAGATAGAAAAGATAGACTAGTACAGAATAAGCTTTCTCATAACTCAGTCTGCAACCACATTTTACTTAATGCATGGAAAGGAAGCGGAAGAATTTCAAAGGAGGGAAAGATATTCTCCTGGCATTCATATAAGACTAAATAAAAATAAAATAAAGAAATGCATCACACTTTTGATTTCCATCAAAGTACAATCTCTCATGACATGACATGAGTAGATATTTCTCAATTTAAAAATTATGTGCATAAATGTATTACCTTGAGAAAATTACTATACACAGAGAGAGAGAGAGAGACAGACAGACAGACAGACAGACAGACAGATATTTGTTTTCTGAGGTTTTCGCGGGTGTTTGTATGTAGGTCTTTGGTTGTTCGGGTTTTCTCCCGCGTAAAATTGGAAGTGTCTTGGCGATGTTTCGACGAAGATGATGAATGGGACTTCATCAAAACGTCGCCAAGACACTTCCAATTTTATGCGGGAGAAAACCCGAACAACCAAAGACCTACATAGATAGATATGTATACACACACACACACACACACACACATACATGCATACATACAGGGGGGAGAGAGATAGACAAAGACAGAGAGACACAGAGAGGATAATGTTATACTAATTGTCAGAACCCATTTTCCATGGGGGGGGATCCATCTCATCTCTTTCCTATTTCTTTCTTTCTGACGGTTCTGCCATTCCCCTGAGGGGGAGGGGGGAAGGCTCCATGATATGTTATTCTTCTTTGCTACAATGTATCCTTCCCGCTGTTCCTGCATGCTGACTCTTTGAACTGTCTCTCCCTCAATGTTACCTTGGGGTGAGAAAGGAATGTGCCTCCGACCATCTGGCTTATCTCTCACTGTGGAAGGGAAGGTGCGAAGACCCAACAACATCTACACAAACATGGGACCTTCACAAGCATGGGACCCGGTTATCATCTCCTTTCCCATAGCAGACTTAACATCTAGGGATTGGCCCATTCAAACTGAACGGATGAACTACTGGGGTGGGTTTTGCTTGGGACTCATTTAACCTATTGATCTGAGTGGGAAGCCCTCAGATCCTGCCTATCATGCCTGCTATCAGCTTCTCCTAATAAAAGTTCCTTTTGGAAAGAAACTGTTTCCAGGAGTCCTGCTTTCTTGGGATGAGGTTTTGAAATGAGCCCTGACATTGCGCAGGATCTGCAGTAATAGTCAGCCCGGAAGGAAGACCCTTACCAGAGATTAAGCAAATTATGTCAGATATCGGAACGGAAAAGGAAGAACCTGCAGATGTCCCACCTAGCAGACCCCAGCCAATACAGTTCTCAATCCTAGAGCTCATCAGACAAGGTAGTGGTCGTGGAATGCCACCACAAGCCCAGGTGGTCAATGGGTGTCAGGAAGAAGGAGGACTGGGAGAAGAAATCCAGGAAAGTGATGCTCAGATGTGGCAGTCACCAACTGGGTTGGAAAGTCACCTTAGCGAAGACGAGGACGACCTGCCACCCCATTCCAACCAATTCCTGGAGCAAGCCATCAACATGCTGAGAGTCACCTTTGACTCCATGAAGGAGGAGAAAGCTGATCCGTGCCAGTGAACTGTCAACCCAGGCTCAGCTGAAGGAATGAACGGGGGGGAACCAGCAGTCCCAGGCCCTTCTATCAACACCGCAGAAGCAGCAGCCATCGCTACAGCTGCCACCACCCCTAGACAAACCACACCAGCTGACAGAGATGGACACAGACACAGACAGAAGAAGGGACATCGGTCCATCCAAAGATTCCTGCCACTGGGAGTAAAATACTGCAGGGAGCCATGCCACCTGGGATTTTTCCTGACCCAAGTATTGAATTACATAGAGGAATACAGCTGTGACATACCGAGTGACCACAGCCAAATATGGATTGTGCAAGCTGCCCTAGATAGCACCGCAGTGGACTGAATGGTGGATCTCCAAGACGCCGATGCCCCAGAACTGCAGAATTTCAATTAGTTCATGGCAGCCCTCAGAAACAGATTTGAAGATTCCTTGGCTGATTGGAAGGTGCAGGAACACATCAAAACTGTCAGGCAAGGATGGCAACCTGTAATGGAATATACCCAAGAAATTCGAGCCCTGGCCAGCAAGTTGAACTGGCCGGAAGATATATTGATCGGACATTTCAAAGATGGCCTGAACTACGACCTATACAATGTCTTCATCCCTCAAGGGGATCCGGACTGACTCCAAGAGTGGTATATCCTAGGCAAGGAAGCAGAGATTGATCGGGCCAAAAGACAATAGCGTGGAGGGAGATCTTGGTGAAAGTCGCCAGCAGAGCAACCCCGTAAACCAGCGAAACAACCACCCAGAGAACGACAGGATATTTCAAATGCGGAAAGGAAGGACATCGCGCTGCCAAGTGCTGCTCACGCACTCCTGTCCACAAACCTGACTGGGCCCCGGTTGGGAAGCCCGGAAAGACCCCAATAAAGCCGAAGGAGATGGCCATGAGGAGCGTGGAGGTTGTTGAGTTCCCCACCCCATCCAAACAAGAGAGCCACCTGACTCATCAGATGACAACTCGGAAGACGAAGCCCTGGTAAGTGGACCCATCACGTTCCTCACCAGAACTGTAGAACTGTTTAGCCTCAGAATGTATGAGAGAGTGGCACTCAGAGCAATAGACTCTGGATGCACCCGTTGCCTCATAAGCCCAAAATTAGTGGGGAACATAGGAATTCCAGTGAGGAGGTTGAAGAAACCGATCTCACTTGGTCAATTAGATGGGTCCATTGCAGGGGTGACACCAGCCACATTTGCCACACTGCCTGCCCAGCTTACCCTAGGGGATCACGAAGAGACTATAATGTTTGTCGTGACCCCTGGCATGGAGTGCCCCCTTATTCTAGGCATGGCATGGCTAGTGAAGTGGAACCCGTGGGTGGACTGGAGGATGGGAGAACTCAGATTCCCAGACAGTACAGTACAGTAAAGACCCCTGGTTCAGCTCCGAAATGGGGGAAGCCCCTCTGAAAGAGCAGCAGTGGGAGGGGAAAAGGAGTTACAAGACATCCCAGAGGAATACAGGGACTTAGCTGAAGTGTTTAGCAAAGAGAAATCTGATGAACTGCCTCCTCACTGACCCACGGACTGCTTCATCGAGATCCTCCCAGGGGCGAAATTACCGAAGCCAAAACTATATTCCATGAGCCCACGGGAGCTCAAGGAAATGCAAAAGTTCATAGACAAAAATTTGGAAAGGGGTTTCATCCAGCTGATGAAACCAAAGAGCACAGCCCCAGTGTTATTTCAAGAAAAGATGGGACTCTCCATCTCTGCGTGGACTATAGATCTCTGAACGCAGTGAGCGAGAGTAACCTATACCCCTTCCCTCTCATGAAAGACAAGGTAGCACACCTATCGAAAGGAAAAGTCTTTTCGAAACTGGACTTGAGAGAGGCGTATTACAGGATTAGAATTAAAGGGAATGAGTGGAAAACCGTTTCAATTGCCCCTTAGGGTGTTACCAATTCAGGTTTTATCCTCCAGCCTTCAAGGGGCACCCGCAGTATTCATGCAACTAATAAATGACATGCTCCAAGAGCACCTGTATAAGGGGGTGCTTGTTTACCTGGACAATATCCTGATATTCACTGAAACGAAAGAGGAACATGTGAAATTAGTCAGAACAGTGCTGAAAAAACTCCAGGCAGCTCAACTGTATGTTAAGCTGTCTAAGTGTGAATTTCATAAGGAAAAAATTGATTACCTGGGGTATCACATCTCTCTGAGTGGCATAGAGATGGACCCTGAAAAAGTCCGAGCTGTACTAGAATGGGTTCTGCCCCACACCAAGAAGCAATTTCAAAGTTTCCTTGGATTTGCTAACTTTTACTTGCAATTCATCCTTTTCTTTGCATAGATTGCACTGCCAATTACTAACTTGTTAAAGACAAAAGGGGAGAGAAAACCCAAACTGAGTCAGCCATTGATATGGACAGTAGAATGTCAAACTGCATTTGAAAGGTTAAAAAGTCTATTTTCCGCAGAGCCAGTTCTAAGGCACCCTGACACCGAAAAACCTTTCGTAATTCAGGCTGATACTAGTGACATGGCTGCGGGGGC